ACCGGTTGACATATTTGGCCTACTAACTTATTCATTATTTCATTCAAAGTATTCAGTTGTTTGGCCATGTTGTCATAATGTGCATTTCCATTCTAGGTAAATCTTTCCATATTATGAATATTTCGAAGATTTACCTGTTCAACGACATCTTGTGTGAGTTCTCCAAGTAGTGCACGCATAGTTCGAGGACTCAACTCTGCCATTGATTCGTAATGACTGTTACTGCTCTAATTCTGTCCATCTGTTCGTGGAGAGCTATGCTGCTCCTCATATCGCTCGATCACAGACTGGACTCCTCCCTGACTTGCTGCTTCCTTATCGGATCTCTGAGGCATATTGTTTCACCTTTTGTATCTTCAACACCAAACACCACTGTCCCACTGGACGTGCCAAAATTATTTCGCGCGGGTTAGTCGCTAACAATTTTAAAGGGATCAGACGATTGTGTAAGGGACAAAACTCTTGAGACAAAGTCCCAAAAAGGGGTATTTTTTATTGGCGATGACTTTACAATTGGAAAATAAAAACAGAATGTCTCCAACGGGAGCAAGCACACGAGTTACTGAAAAAAGAAATGTTTAAATTTAAACTAAGAAATTTAAAATTATATATTCTCTGTTTGAGAGTGTTTGATTCGGGGGCTTTTGCTCTATGTCTTTTCTTCCTTTTATATTTCTTGGATGATCTCTTCGTGATCAACCGCTTAAAAACTATTTGATCGCTCTATAACTGCCCACTTTTCTTGTAGTGGCCAACTTGTCATGAAACTGTCTTCTCTAACGCTACCATTACTTTTGTCGTTCAACCGTCTTTAATTGAATTCCTTGAATCGTGGAACGTGATAGGACTACCCAATTACTGCTTTATTAACTGCACTTTTTGGTAACCATAACATTTTATGTTCGCTAAGATGTTGGGCGACTCGAATGTTTGGACGAGAGCAGGGTCACAACTCTGGGCGACTGCATGGCAATTCATTCGCTCAAATCTTGGGCGACTTGCAACCTTGGGCGATGGTATTACCACATTCATGGGCTTCCCTATTTGGGCCTTTATCCTGCATTGTCTGATTGGGTCGTTCTTTTGGGCTATTTGATTTTGAGGATCTTTCAATTGTGCTTCATTCCTTGGGTTATTCGATTTGGGCTGAACTCTTTGTGTGTCAACAGATTATATGTTCGAAAAATAAGCTATAATGAAATATGAAGATTTGGAATCATCGGATTCTTCAATCAACTTGTTCTGACAGCTTCTATCGGATGAATCTCAAAAATCCTCAACAGCGTTGTGACCTAATTAGTTGAATCGTGGTGTTGGAGAATAGATTTATCAAAATTTAAAAGTCATATCATAAATTTGTCTTGATTTAGGAGTGAAATGGAATCGTGTAGTTAGAAAGAGACAGTAGGAGGTAAGAGTTTAAGTTGGGTGAGAGAATCTCTTTTAAACTATTTAATAATTGCAAAATTTTTGGATATCTTAAAGATTATTACCCTTATTTAAATTGATTTTTTTCCTATATATTATATAGAGTAATATTATACCCTTGTCATTAGAAAGAGAAATTTGGGGAAAATGATATTTTGAATAGTAATTTTGTGAAGAATGTTTGATTAAAAAGAAGAAAAAATTTATTTTATGTACAAAATATGTTACTGTATGAACGTGTGTTGAAAATAAATATAAAAAATAAAGAATTTCGAAATAGAGTCAAACATGGGCTATATATATATTGATACAAAACTTGATTTTTGAAACTTTTCTCCGAGTTTGGTAATTGCGAAATGGTATTCTTCAGGTACAATAGTTATTGCTTCGTTTGATTCCCATTTTTCTTAAAATATATTTTTCTCTCTCTTCTTTTCAACCACACATTGTTCATTAAAATAATATTACACGTAAATAAAAAATTTTTCCTTATTTTTCATCCACACATTCTCCATCAATTTACTATTCTAAATTTCATTTTTTTTTACTAAAAATGGGTATCAAACACCCAATATGTATTTTTCCCTAATTCGCCTAATTTTAAGTGGAAATTAGGCCCAACGCTAATTGGACCCAATTTGGTCATTTCAAAGAGTCTGTGGGCTCTATTGAAATTAGATACGAAGTTGGAGGGCCAAATTGATTTTTACTCAAAAATTAAAAGGGTAATACGTGACATGGACTGACAAAATCGTCGAGCAGACCACCATGAACAGCAACAACAACGTACAACAACTGGAGCATCAGGGTACAACTTACATCGACGAAGAGGAAGACGAGGACGTTCAGTGCACTGATGGAAAATCCATTGACAATCCTCCATCTGAGATCCTTTACGATGGTCCGAACAACCCTCACTCTCCACACGCGCTTCAAACTGATGGTGGTGGTGGTGTCATGGATGGGGTAGACGCTGTTGCACTCTATGACGCTGGAAGCTCTGATATGACTCCTGCGGTTGCACCGGTTAGCGGGGAGAGTGGCGCTGATCAGCTTACACTGTCGTTTCAGGGAGAAGTCTATGTTTTCGATTCCGTTTCCCCTGAGAAGGTCTGTTATATTCTATTTAATCTTTAGCACTGGTACCTTTGTTCTTAGTTATCAATTTATGGATTTGATTTTGAGCAGTATTAAAGATAAAGGTTTGGTCTCCAACAATTGAATTTAGCTTGGCTTGTTGATCTTTTTTGGTTTAACTTTGTAGATAATGCAAGTTTATGGAGGAAAAGGGAAAAAGGTCTAACAAAGATAAACACATAGAATATGGGTCTGGGGTGGGATTGGAGAAATGATCCTGTTCTTTGGTGGTTGTGAAATGGAGTGAAATCGATCAATTTCTGTAGTAGTACTTGATGAAACATAATTTAAGTTATGAGGTACTAAAAGAGTTACTAGAGTGCTTGTGGGTGTTTGCGTGACTGTGGGCATTGAAAATCAGATTTACACTTGAATAATTATGTGAGTTGTGGGTTCTTTTCTGCCTATTCAATCTCTTGCAATTGTCGGTTGAAAGAAACCTAGTGAGGATAAGAAAGGATTCTTCTATATTGTTTTGCAGGTTCAGGCAGTGTTATTACTGTTGGGTGGATATGAAGTACCCACTGGCATTCCTACTGCTGGGATGGCTCCTCAAAACCAGAGGGTATAAATATCCTGGTTCAGCTCAGTTACTGAAACTACTGAAGCTTTACTAATGGCATCACAATGTGTCTGTTTTCACTTTTGCATTTGCTTTCACTATAGGGTTTGGGTGAGTATCCTGGAAGATTAAGTCAGCCACAAAGAGCTGCTTCTTTAAACCGGTTCAGGGAAAAGAGAAAAGAGCGATGTTTTGATAAAAAGATTCGTTATACTGTGCGCAAGGAAGTTGCTCTCAGGTAAAAGATAGGAAAGTTTGGAGTGGGCAATTATTGACTGATACTTTGTTGCTGCTCCACTTAGTTCAGCACACAATTTTCTTACATGACGACATCGATGCTGAGCATTTTTTTAATTTATTTATGGACTTTTTAAATTCTGAATAAACATATCTTGTTTTGGCCTGGTATGTCCGCAAATTACCTGCTTCTAATAAAAAATAACACTGGACTGATGGAATCAAATGCCATACATATTTCTGCACATTAGTTTTGAGAGAATAGAGTTTGGATACCTTTTATATCGGTTTGTGAGAATGAGTTCGATATGTGTTTCTTTAATTATTTTAATATACACTTGTTTAATTACTGCCATTCCAACTGGTCAAGAAAGGTCCCTTGCCTTGCTTGTCATCAATTAACCTATTAACTGAAGTGAGTTCAAATACAGTCAATTCTATCTGTATGGATGTTTGTTGTCTTGCTCATAATTCTTTGTTCTTGACCATCATTCAGCGCATCATTTAATGTTACAATATCAGGAAGAAGTTGAATTTCCAACTAATTGTGAGTAACTGGAAGTCTTTGAAGGATCTTCAAATATAGTTGATTTTGCTTAAAACATGAAAAGTTCACTCATCTGCAATAAAAATATGATGTGCAAATTGCAGAGAATAAGCTACTATGAAATGAGAGGAAGCAGCTTGCATGATTTGCATGCTTATAAAATGGCTAACACGGAAAACGTGTGTCTTCAGGGAGATTTCAGTGAAAAGGAAAACCTGATTATAAATATCAAGAAATTTCTTGTTCCTAATATAATATCTGTGCATTTAGATCTTCAAAGTTTCCAGTGCGCTTTGTATTTGACAAATGCATGTTTAGCAAGAAGATTCTTATTAACTTGTTCATTTCAAATCTCATTTTGTTTCACTTATACACTGTGAAACCTGTCAGGAT